GTATACATGTGCCATGGTGATTTGCTGCACCTATCAATCCGTCATGTAGGTTTTAAGTCCTGCATACATTAGGTATTTGTCCTAATGCTTCCCTTCCCTTGCCCCCAGGTGTGTGATGTGAGACCCCAATGTGTGATGTTCCCCTTCCTGTGTCCATGTGTCCATGTGTTCTCATTGTTCAACTCCCACTTATGAGTGAGAACATGTGGTATTTGGTTTTCTATTCCTGTGTTAGTTTGCTGAGAATTAGGACTTCTAGCTTCATCCATGTCCCTGCAAAGGACATGAACTCATACTTTGTTATGGCTGTATAGTATTCCATGGTTTATGTGTCATATTTTCTTTATCCAGTCTATCACTGATGGCCATTTGGGTTGGTTCTGAGTCTTTGCTATTGAAAATAGTGCTGTAATCGTATGCATTTATAATTTTAAAACAAACGTATTTGTACCAGCAACAAAATTATAATTAACAATAAAGGAAACAGGTATTAGTGCAGGGAGTTGTCTTACTAAGTAGTATACTCATGAAGTTAAAGATTCTAGTTGATAAAAAACGTTATTAAGAGAACATTGATTCATTTTATGATTAAAAAATATAAGTCCAATAAAATGTGTATTATCATATATAATATTACAAATGTATATTGATAAATATTGTAATAATAGTAGTAATAATAAACATAAATATATAATATAAATATGTAAACTATATGTTGTATAAATGTAGAAAAATAATAGTAAAAATAAAAATATTGGCTAAGACTTTTTGGGAGTACATCACTAAGAGTTAAGTCAGGAAAATGGAAACCACTCTATGTATCTGTGTTAAATAGGGCATATTAAAAATGGGTTTATGATAGAGAGTTAAAAGGTTGGGCCACAGAGGACATGGAAATGCTGCTGAAGTTGGAGGGGGTATCACCAAAGGTCAGAGGAGCTGACCCTGAATATACCAGCCTGCAGCAGGGAAGCATGTGGTTCTCAAATGCTTGCCTGGAAGCTGCTGCAATTCTTCAGTGTCTTTGTGGAGCTCTCATCGCTATCTCAGTCAGCAGTGGAGGTTTCCACAAGCTTGCTAGGAAGCTGTTGTGAATCTGTCATCTGTTGTCACATCTGCCTGCAATCAACTCCGAAGATTAATATTTTTATGCTTCGCTCTGCTTTCTGAATCTCCTACACATTTCTTTCACTGGGAAACTCTAACCCAGATCATACCGAGATTTCTGAGAATTCATTCCCAGCCTTAGAAAGAGGTGTTAGTCCATCACAGAAGGCTACATATAGCTCAAGCACTTAATGGGTGCTTTGCAGTCATTATCTTATTTAATCTCCATGGCAACTGTATGATGTAGCTACTATTGTTTTTCACATCTAATAGATGGACTATGAATGTTAAAGTAGGAGATGAGGGATTCAAATAGTGGCTATTAGGCTGGGCATGGTGGCTCATGCCTATAATTACAGCACTTTGGTAGGCCAAGGCCAGTGGATAACTTGAGGTCAGAAGTTTGAGACCAGCCTGGCCAACATGGAGAAACCCTATGTCTACCAGAAAATACAAAAATTAGTCATGTGTGATGGTGACACCTGTAGTCCCAGGTACTCGGGAGGCTGAAGTGGAAGAATAGCTTGAACCTAGGAGGCGGAAGTTGCAGTGAGCTGAGACTGTGCCACTGCACTCTGTCCATAGCCTGGGTGACAGAGTGAGACTCCTCAAAGAAAACAAAAGAAAAATAGTGGCTATCAGATTTCGAAGCCTGAGTGTCTAATCACTAGTTTCCTGTATCTTCAACTGCATATTGTTTATATTAATTTTATTGATATAAGTATGAACTAAAACTCCTGTTGGTGACAGCTGCTAATTTATTTTGTTTGCAACTTGTATGTCCCAGTTTAACTAGCCTGGGAGTGCACACAGTATGGTATTAAAATTGATACCTACATTCTATCAATCCCCGAGTACTTAGTCTAAAATGTCCACAAACATTTTGTTCCAGGGTAGGAATGCTCTTACCACTTCATTGTTCTATTAATTTATATACACCCACAGCCTGAGAAATTCCTATTCTCCCAGGGAATTTCATGTCACGATTCTTGAACTGATGGTAAGAATTGAAGGTGAGGCTCTTCTCTCTCCCTGGAAGTGCCATTTGGCGTTCAGCTTATGTACCTGAAACTGGCTTGATGCTCTAGAATACATTTTTTCCTATGGTGAATGATTCCTGTAAAACCTTCTGCAATCGATTTCTACTGCAAGTTAACATACTAGCTGTGCAACTTGATTCTCACCTTTTCAAATCTATCGGTCCCTCAGGTCTATCTCTGTGGCTCTAAATTCTTGTGGTGGAAAGAAATCAATCTTTTTATTGCCATGATTGGCAAATCTAAGGATTTAAATTTTCGTGTCTGGGAAAGGGGTTTCTGTCAAGTTCAAGTCCTCAGAATGATTCAAGTCCAGAAGATACATGGGTTAAGTGAGAAGCAGGGTAATTACTCTTGTAAATACAATCATTTAAAACTAGACTCTTGTCCAACCAAGATATTCAACATACCCTATTGCAAACATCAACTATGATCATTTTGCTCATGACTGAACTTGTCCTGTGTCTTTAATCTCATATATTGATTGATACAATACAAATATATCCAAAATAGTTAATAGACTGATACTATTTTTAAAACTTAATAGTAATTACTTGGTTTATTATGATTGTATAATCCAACTTCTAAAGAAAAATGTAGGAACACTTCAGTTTATTAAAAAAAGAAATCTAGAAACTTTCCATCCACTTTGAAAGGTAAATTCAAAAACAAAACAAAAACCATGAGATTTTTAGAGGTGTCAAGATAGAAATGGCTGTGGCTTGTAAGTTCCATTACCTGACTTAATTTTGCTTTATCTGAGTGTCCAGATATTCTGTGACAATTGCAATCCAGTTGTACCTTCTATTTATTTTTTTTCTATTTTCTGCAACTCTTTATAATATAAAATTAGTTCAAATAAAACATAATACATAATAGAGGTAAAATCCAAAATGTTTTAGATTGCATTCCACAGATGTATAATTAGGATTTAATTGAACTCTGCATTACTTTACAATTACCTCCACAACAGCAGCAGAATGGCCTTTTTTATTTATAACTATGATAATTGAAATATTAAATAGCAGAAATGAATAATACTGGTGACAACTGTTTGCTTACTTGTTTTTCAGAATATACAAAGTATTACACTTGTCTAATAAATATCTTGCATCATAATGTATTTGTGGTAAAAATGCTTTGCTCTTTTTACTTCTAACTCTGTGTTCAATCTACACATTTTTTAAATATGCAGAAATATTTAATCCATGACTCTGTGATCAACTTGGAATCTTGTTATCTGCAAAATCCATTTAACCTCTGCCCAGAGAAAGCCATGTTTTCCTAGACTTAAAAATGTAAATAAATATCCCTTAGATAACCTGAACAGAAGTTTCTTATATAGCATGTCTGAGCACTATATTTTGCTGGGCTATGAAAGGTTTAATTGTTATTTATTGGCACAATAAGGGACTCTAGTTACTAATATCTACCTGTAGTCAATAAAGCAAGCATTGATTGGTTGATTGATTCATTGAGTCATTCATTCAATAGGTATTGACTCAGCACCAGCTATGAGCTAGGCAGAGTTCTAGGCCCTACAGAGAAAACTGATATCAAACTAAGCAAGTCCTTTTCCAAGTGCTACAGTAGGGGTGGGAGAGGACAGAGATAACAAACAGGTGAGCAAATATTAAACAAAATGATTCTGGAGAGTGCTAAATGCTGTGAAGAAGATAAAATGATAAAGTAATAAAGACTTCTGAAGATTGGTTAGGGTAACCTCTCGTAGAGGTATCATTGGAGAATGAAGGATGACAAATCAGCCATCTGACCATGAGAGAACATCATTCAAGGCAAAGGAAACAGATCACCACCAACAAAAAAAGATGCACTGGGGAATTTCCAGTGACACTTTTGTTAGCTCTCTTAATATCTGATTTTTTGAGCACTAGAACCACTGCCTCTCACAGAATCTGAGCTTAAAACAGCAATGAACAGACTGGAATTCTAGGTTAAAACCAACAAGATGAAATGTGACTGATATGAATATAAATGGTGCATATAAGTTCACAAACCCAATTACACAGCACAAAATGATATCCATGTGGCTTGACAGCTGTTCATATTTGAACAATCTAGGGATTCTAATGGACTGCAAATTGGAGATTGCTCTTTGGTGTTCCTGACTGGAAAATATTAAAAAAAAAAAAATGTAGATCTTACCCTTGGGCAGATTTCAGCCCACTTTAAAGTATCATTAGAGCTGTCCAAAATGGAACAGCCTGCCTTGCAGGTAGATAACTCACCATTGCTCAACTCGAAAAAGAGCAGAAGGAAGGAAGAGGGAAGGAAACGCATCAGGAATTTTTACAAAAAGAAAATTCTGTATTTCTTGGAGACTACTTTAAGACACTTTGGTTTCTATAAGTCTGTGGCTTATTACTTGTTTCTTTAATTCCAAGAAAAATTTCTTCACTTTTGTTATTTTTATACCATTAAGAAGAAAAAAAATGACATTTATATAAGGTAGATGGTGAAGTTTAGCAAAAGTTTAGTTTATAATGATATCTCTCAAAACAGCAAACTGAAGTTTAAAATTCTTAAGCTATAATTTTAAAGGAATTTAGATTAAACTTTTAGTATGTTGTTGGCTAAGTATAATACAAAATAAAAAATAAATGTATCTTGGCTTTGCCACATATTAGCTCTGTAACATGGACAATTTACTTCTCTGCTATTGTTTCCTCAGAATGAGGGCAGTAACTGTCTGAAAATATTGTTATAAGGACGAAGTTAGTTGCTGTATATAAAGCAGTTAGACCAGTGCCTGATAATATTAAATGCTAGGTAAGTGTTTGCTATTATTGTTGCTGTTATTATTAATTATAATTGGGTACTCTATTCTGCCTTCAGGAATTAATGACCAAGTTAATAACTGAGACACCTGACCAGCCAATCCCATTTCTCATTGACCATCTTCAGTCTAAACAAGGGAACCGTGGACAACTTCAAAGAACTTTGTCTGGATCTGCAGCTCTATGGGCAGAAAGCGAAACATCAGGTAAATGAAGAATATATATGCAGTTAATTTGGGATTCATTTAATGTCAAAATTTCAAAACCCTTTGATTCTAATAAGATAAATCTAGATAGATAGTTACCGAAGGTTTCATGTGTTCATCTCTGACCTTACCTATGTGCTAAAATTTGTCATAAATTATTAAATTTGAATATATTGTAATGTATTATGTATCAAAATACAAGAATCAGCACATTCCATTTTAATACAGATAAGATTCAGATTTGCATCAAAAGATTTTATCCTGTATAAATGCAAACTAGTTATCCTAAACTTATTTTTAATGAATAATTTGAATTAAATGCTTATAGCTTATCTATATAGAAAGATAATAGTAGAGTTCTACAGGATTACTTTTCTTGTTGCCCAAATTGATGATTGTTCTTTATTTCTCCATGCCCCAATTTTATCCTGTGTAGTAAACCTTGGGAAGATTCACTGACTCTTTACATCAGGGAACTAGTTTTCTGAGTGTATAGTAGCCTCATCTCCCCAGTAAACACTGGTGAAAGAATTAGGTAGACATGACCTCAGTCTTTGCTCATAAAATGTGTTTACACATTGGTCTGTTAGTTTGACATTTACTTTCAAATCCAAATCCCCTCATGCCCATTGCTTGGGTAACCGACTTCTTCTCTGATTCCGGTAGAAATCTGACTGTACTCCAAATGACTTTCCTTGGATGGTGTTATCTCTTCTCTCCGCCTCTTCATGCTTTATGGGATCCCATGCAAGGATTTTGGTCTTCTTTGGTTGTATCTCGTATGAATGCCTTCTTGGCCTTAACTTTCTTGGGTTTAGATTCTAAGTAGAATGGGTAGGTAGGCAGGGGCTTTGGTTTATAGGTACCAAGATGGTACCCATAAACGCAGATCAGATGAGTATCTATGAATTTGCTGTAGCTCATGTGAGTCCATATTTTATAAATCAGTATCTGAAGAGATAGGAGTATATTGAACTCTGCATTTTATTTATTTATTTATTTATTTATTTTTTTTTTTGAGACAGAGTCTCACTCTGTCATCCAGGCTGGAGTGCAGTGGCGCGATCTCGGCTCACTGCAAGCCCGAGTTCACGCCGTTCTCCTGCCTCAGCCTCCCGAGTAGCTGGGACTACAGGCGCCCGCTTCCACAGCCGGCTAATTTTTTGTATTTTTAGTAGAGACGGGGTTTCACCGTGTTAGCCAGGATGGTCTTGGTCTCCTGACCTCGTGGTCTGCCGGCCTCAGCCTCCCAAAGTGCTGGGATTACAGATGTGAGCCACTGCGCCGGCCAACTCTGCATTTTTAATCGCACACATTAAGTACCTCAGTGTTTATGTGTAGGAAGTCTGTGCATGATTTAGCTGAGTCCTCTGCTTGGTCCCACAGGTCTGCAAATCAACTTGTTGGCTGGGTTACATTCTCATCTGGAGGCTGGACTAGGAAAGAATCTGCTTCCAAGCTCATCTGGGCTGTTGGCAGAACTAATTTTCTGCAGCTATATGGCTGAGGTCCCTATTTTCTGACTGACTTTCAGCCAGGAGCTACTCTCGCCTCCTAGGTGCAACCCAGAGTCCCTGCCACATGTCTCTCCCATCATGTCAGCTTACTAATTCTTCCTCCTTTTCTTCTTTTTCCTCTTATTCTCCTCCTCCTCCTCCTCCTTCTTCTTCATCTTCCTTCTTCCTTCTTTTTTTCTTCTTTAAAATGGAGTCAGGGTCTTGCTCTATTGCCTGGGCTTTAGTGCAGTGGCATGATCATAGTTCACCATGACCTTGAACTTCTGGGCTCAAGTGATCCTCCTACTTCAGCCTCCCAAAGCATTGGGATCACAGTTGTGAATCACCACACCCAGCCGGCAACCCACTTCTTTAAAGTTAACAAGGGCATTTTTCTCATTCCAATCTACTACGATGGATCTTATATACTAGAATGTAATCATAGCATTGACACCTCATCACCTTTGCCATATTCTACTGTTTCGAAGCAAGTTAAAAGTCCTGTCTGCATTTGAGGGGTGGGGATAATGTGGGAGGAAATACCATGGGAAAGAGATCATGGTTAAGAACTACCATGTTATTCTATCAGTTCTCTTAGTACCTGTTGATGAATTTTAGTTTCTTGTGGCTCACTTGAGTAGATAATTTTAGCAGGCTATTGGATGTGAGTCTAAAGCTTTGGGGATGGGTCAAAGCAGGAGTCCCAGATGTGACCTTCAATTTCATACAGATAACAGTAAGAGTGAAAGAATAAAGGAAGATGTGGGTCCAATTTATAGATAGCGTATGGGATGGACTGGGAGAAGGCAAGTGTGAGATGATTTCACGTGCCCTAAATTTTGTCTATTTATTATGTGGTGAGGGCATTTGCCAAGACAAGTGGTTGAGGGGTCAGATAGGGAAGACTGAAGTAAGTGCACCAATTATGGAAAGTCACCAAGAGAAAGGAAAAAAGAGTTGGCAAAGGAAAATTTTTTAAAAAGATTGTCATGCAGTTCTGGGGCCTAACTGAAGTCGAGGACATGAATTAATTATTATTAATGAATCATGGAAACCATGAGTAAGATTGTTATTTTTCTCTAGCAGTGCCCAGAAAGTTCTGGGAAGGAAGAGAGAAAACAGTTTGGGAGGCTTTGAGAATTGTGGTTGTGTTACTACAGCAAGGGTGGGAGAAGTTTTGCAAAAGGAGTTGAGGGTATTTGTGAGCAAACTGCAGGTGATCAAGCTGTCTGAGAAGTAGAGAGCAAGTGGAGGGGGAAGTTCAGACAGAGAAAGCCAATCAAAACTTTCAGGAGATCAATATGGTGAAAATATGAGCAACGCAGAAGGATACAAGCTGTGCTGAGAGATTGTGATATTTGAGATCAAGATGTTTGATGTGGAATGATTCCAGATAATGAGAAAATCCTGTGGGCAGCTTTAGTTTACGGGTAGCAGAAATATCAGGGAAGCGAAGCTCTTCAGAGTTGAGCAGGGCAAGGAAGTATGAGGCTTAATGCATGGTTTGTCTAAGGATAAATAGGTCAGTATAGTTTCTTTCAAGTTGTTGAAAGGACAAGAGACAGGAAAAGACTATGCCACTGTCTGAAGTAAGGCTGTGAGATTGATCAGAGGCGAAAAGGTAGTGATAATGTGTGATAATGAAGAGAAATGATTAGTATAGCTAAGTGACATTTCCCTTAAGAGAACAGACACTTTTACTTTACTCTTGAGGCTTCTATCATAGAAGCCTCACTGAATCAGGAAATTCAGCCCTGCTTCCACAGCCTGTGGTTGGTGGAAAATGGGACATGGGGCAAGAGCATCAATCATCCCAGGAAGCTGCAGAGGAGGGAACACTATCGTGGGAAGAATGGGGGCTGTGCTAAGACATGAAAGGGGACATTTGAGGATAGAAGAGTGTTTATGTGGAAGGTATGGCCCAGAGGAAGAGGAAAAATTTTAGAGGGGAAAGTATGGTAGGAAGGAAGAGAAAAGCATAGCTGAATTGTTGGATATGAATGAAACTGAAGAGGTTATAATTGAATGATGGTAAATAATGCCACTTTAAACTCTGACTATAATTTCGAATTATTGATTTTAGTGAATCTTTTTATTTGTTTGTTTTGGTTTTTTGTTTTGTTTTGTTTTTTGAGACAGAGTCTCGCTCTGTCACCAGGTTGGAGTGCAGTGACGTGATCTTGGCTCACTGCAACCTCTGCCTCCTGGGTTCAAGCGATTCTCCTGCCTCAACCTCCCGAGTAGCTGGGACTACAGGCATGCACCGCCATGCCCAGCTGACTTTTTTTTGTATTTTTTAGTAGAGATGGGGTTTCACCATGTTGGCCAGGATGGTCTCAATCTCTCGACCTCGTAATCTGCCCACCTCTGCCTCCCAAAGTGCTGGGATTACAGGTGTGAGCCATCACGCCCAGCCTGGTGCATCTTTTAATTAGCTAGAAAACATCTCAATATTCAAAGTACATGGGTATCATACTTCTCGGAAATATCTGAAGATATTCTCTTGTTGCCTTTAAATATATCTAGCAACTTGGGACACAACATTTTCTCCTTAAAAGTCTGCCATTTAATATTGTGGAGGAGAATCTTGAAAACAGCCTTATTTTTATTCCTTTGTAGGAATAAAAGACAAATGATTTTTCTTGAATACTTACAAATTTTTTTTATTTCTAATATTCAAAAGTTTTGCTGGAATGTCAACTATGATTTTTCAGGAAAATCTATTATGTGTAAGTTGAGTCTTATTTACTGTTCTCTGTTTTTCTCATTTCATTTGGCATTGTATTTGCCTTTCCTTGTTGACTGTCCTCTAGAGAAGTGTATCAAGCAAAGTGTTTTCTGTGTGTCACTGATTCAATTTTCTACACTATCGGTTTTCTCTTTCTGGCTTTGAACACAAATTTAAATGTTGGTATTGCATTTTAGTTTCCTGTTGCTGCTTCTTTATCTCATCTTCTTTTTATTATTTCTGTACATAGTTACATTTTTATTCATAGGTTGGTTAGCCTATCTCCTTTCTAATTTCTTTTGGCTTCATTGAGTCCACTTTCTTTTATTTTTGCTGAGAAGACAAAACAGTCACAGTCACATTCCAACATTTAATGGCTTTCCATTATAAATATTTTTTAAAACTATGATTACCTCTGCATTGTGAATACTGTATTCTTGTTTTTTATTAAATGATTCTTAGAATAATATTTTCTGTTTTTTTTCAAACTTCAGTGAGGAATGTGCTATCCAGTTCTAGATTTATCAACAAATAGTGTAGGTGGACTCTTCTTTGTTCTCTCTCCATATATCTTGGAACTATTTGGATTCTTTTCAAAACTTTAGAGAGGTGAAATCATGGTGGCTATTAAAATTTTCAATATTAGTTGAATCCTTTAAGCTTCTGCAAAATTGATGCATGACTTACTATCTCTTATCTCTTTCCAATGAATTAGATAAACATATCATTGCTAAATTATTTGAATTAATACGGATTTTTTCTTGCTATAAGTAGAGAATAAAGAAAGCCACAACATTCATTTCATTCCACTCTGGCTCCATTTAATATTCCTTTATAATATTCCTTTATATCATGAGATGCCATATTTTATGACCAAGGTTTTTTTCTCCCATTACCTATGTTGCATTAGAAGAATTGATAGTCCACGAATGGATGTAGAAAGACAGATTCTGAAAGACTGTGAAACAACATAAGGAGATGATTCCAAGTTTGGGGTAGATACCTAGAAATCTTCCATTCTCTTTCTCACTGGCCTATATCCTCTCTTAACCTTATCTATGGAAATACTTCCTGGGTTCTAGCAGATCATGGACAAATATTTATGTTCCTAATGCTTTAGAATTTTCATGGCTTTTTGGTATTTAATGGGATTTTGGAGGTGGACAAATTGGGTAACAGCTAGTTAAGTACAACCTTAACATGAAAGTTTGAGGAATCCATTAATGTGTAATGATGTATGTTAGTTATTTATAAGTGAGTGGCCGGAGAAAGACTCATGAGTCATCCATGAAGCTAGGGTGGTTTTTAAGTTTGTAAATTAAGACAAGAAGGCATAAAGAAACTAAAGAATGCCACATAGATTAGAGGAATGGAAGATGAGGAAGGAATAAATGAGATGAAGAAAGAGTTATCAGGTGATATGGGGATGAGGAAAAAGATTGTTCTGTATAAAAACATGAAATTCTTGTAAAAGAAGTCAAGATGGATGAACTCTTGAAAGGCCCTTTAATTGTAGCATGGCAAAGACAGTGACCACCTTCTAAGGGGAATTTCAAAGCAACAGTGTTGGTTGATTTAAATTTATCTTTCTTGCAATAGAAGATAAATTGATTTAGGTGAATATCAATGGTTTTATGTGTTATAATAGATAAGGTGGCATCAAGTGAGTGAAATTTACTGAAATGTTTGTTTTTATTTACAACAGAATGCAATGCTTTATTCCATGACATTCATAGAATGTTATTTTAATTGAAGGGAACCCATGCCTGAAAAAAATTTCAAATTAATTTCATGGGTTTTTGTTTTTTGTTTTTTGTGTGTGTGTGTTTGTGTGTGTGGTTTTTTTTGTTTTTTTTTTTTTTGACAGAGTCTCTGTCACTTGGGCTGGAGTGCAGTGGCACAATCTCAGCTCACTGCAACTTCTGCCTCCTGGGTTCAAGTAATTCTCCTGTCTCAGCCTCCTGAGTAGCTGTGATTACCGGCGCCCACCACCACACCCGGCTAATTTTTGTATTTTTAGTGGAGACGACGGAGTTTCACCATACTGGTCAGGTCTCAAACTCCTGACCTCAGGTGATCCACCCACCTCGGACTCCCAAAGTGCTGGAATTACAGGCGTGAGCCTCCACACCCTGCCAATTTCATAGTTTTATATGATATAATCTTAATCATATGCATATATAAAACTGATTCATAGCAGATTTAGAAGTCGAATTTACAGATGAAATTAAACAAGAAGTACTTTTGCGTGTGTACATTATTTTTGATCTGAGGTGACCTGTATGTTTTGTCAAGTGTATTTAATGACTCGTGGACTTGGTTTTTGTTCAATCTTGAAATCACTTTGTTGTGATTTGATATATATTTTGTTTTAACAGAATCCAAAGGAACAAGAAGGGATTTCAGAAGCTATGATAAACCTTGGCAATTAAATGCAAAGAAGCCTAAAAAATCAAAAAGTGACCTTGCTGTGTCTAATATTTCTCCACCACCAACGGACTCCAAATCATGTAAGGAAGTTTCTTATTCAAATGCTATTCAAAGCATGTAAGTTTGTGTTGTTAAGAAAATGAAGAAAAGGTGGTCATTGAAGCCCAACTTTTCATCTGATATTTCTGGCCTTTAATCTTAGTGAATTTCACTTTTACTCTGCATTTGATCTTTATTCATATGTATCTATTTGCTTGCTTATATTCTCAAACATATGTAATTCACTTAGACCCTTTTTGAATATAATATTCCTTGAAGAATATAAACTACATGGAGCAGGTCTCTTGCCTCTCATAGTCAATTGCAGCATTACATCATATTGAAAGCAGTACCTACCTATATTTAATGAAGTACATAAAAGCAAATTAAATCTCTTAGAGTAGAAGCAAAGAAGATTTCTATTCAAAACATTTAGTAAAATTTTTTAAAAAAATATTTCATCTGGGATTTTCCTGAAGTCCTACTGATTAATTTGTGATGGAAGTCCCTATATTTATTCTGTTCCCTACTACTTTAATGTCTTTGTTTTTATGTTACAATAAAGGAATGACTGAGGCTGGGTATTTTATAAAGCAAAGAGGTTTATTTGGCTTACAGTTCTGCAGGCTGTACAAGAAGCATGACACTAGCATCTGCTTCTTGTGAGAGTCTCAAGAAGCTTCCACTCATGGCAGAAGGTGAAGGGACACACACATCATATGGCGAGAGGAAGGAGAAAGAGAGGGGGAGGGAAGTGCCAGGCTTTTTTTAACAATCAGATCTTGTAAGAATTAATAGAGTGAGAAATCACTCCTTACCATGAGGACGGCACCAAGCCATTTATGAGGAATTGACTCCCATGACCCAAACACCTTCCACCAGGCCCCACCTCCAATATTGGTGATCAGATTTACCATGTGATTTGGAGAGGACAAATATCCAAGCTATACCACCTAAATATCTCTTCTCTCTCAATGTCCCACTGCTTTGGTAGCTACTGGGATTCTCCAGTGCTCTGCTATCCCCACATATGTATAAACATGTCAAAAAATCTCAGGAACCTCTAGCAAATCACAGCTATTCTTAGAAGAAAAGAGAGCTTGCAAGCTGTTCTTCTTATACATCAATTCCTTGTGCTTGTTACAGGGTGAGATGTTTGATTTTAGTTTCAACAGAGAAAGGAGTAGGCAGAAAATATTTATCTTTGTTTGAAAATGTTTGAAAACCACTATGTGCTAACTGGAATCTGCATCTGGGTCATTTGTGAAAGCAACTAGATTTAACTTTATGAGCAGCTTCATTTACATAGTGGTACTCATAAAAAAATATTGCATTAACCACATCAAGTTCTTGTGAGAATTATATGAAGTGTGAACAACTTAAAATGTTCTTTAGAAATTGTGATTGTAACCAAATTGTCCCGCTTCATCATTTTGGTATGTAGAATTAGGTTCAAACATTTAAAAAAAATTCAAGTTTAAAATTTGCATGTCTTTTTTACAACAGTATAGCTAGTAATATCCAACATAGTGCCTGTTTCAATTAATAAATTCTAAATGATAAAAATGAATAAAGGAAGAAACAAAAAATGCAATGAATAAAGTCTCAGTCTCCCTTTTCATCATGGATCCCTACCTCTCTGTCTTTTTACTCTTGCTCTCTTCCATGATAAGTTCAAAACCTTAGGAGATAACTAAATTATAGAATCAGTTCTCGATTTGACCACTTCATCATTAAGAGGAGAATGCCTAAAGGCCCGCCCATTGTGCAGGTCCTGTGCTCTTTATAGGATGCTATCTAGCCACAGGGTGCTGCTGCTGGTGGTCTGGTGTCTGTTTATACTCCTTTTTACTCAGGTAACCTACTCCCAACCTCTAGTTTCACTAGACTGTTACCAAGCTTTTTAAAGCAGAAATAATAATAAAATAGCATGTTTTTTTTTTTTTTTTAAATAGCATATGTAGAATTAATATATACGACAATAAGAGCACAACAGATTAAGGGTTATTCTTTAGAAATACTTGTTAAAACAAATTATTTCTGAAGTAATAAAATATCTTTGCACATAGATTGTGATGAATTAAAGATGCATTTTTCTTCTCTAAAGCATTACTGAGAACTAGCACAAAATGCTTAAATTAAAAATTAATAGACACATTATAATGGGATGTGAAAAAATCATTCATCCTCACAAAACAAAGACAGGAGAAAAGTAACAGAGAAAGAAAGGACAGATTGGAAAAATAGAAGATGGACACCAATATTGTAAGTTGAAGTACAGATGTGCCCACAATTATAATAAATATAAATGTACTAAACATTCCAATTAAAGCAAGTATTGTCAGACTGAATAAAGAGTATAGATTTTTTAAAATATAAGAAACATACTAAAAATATGCAGATACAAACAATTTAAAGTTCTAGCAAAAAGAAGTCTATATGGCTAGAGTAATATCAAAATAAAAACTCAAGACAAAGGACATTACCAGAGATAAAGAGATCATATCATAATCACAAAAGGTTATTTAATTAAGAAGACATAATACTACTAAAGGGTTATGCACCCAATAACAAAAGTTCTCAATACATGATGCAAAAATTTATAGATCTAAAGGAAGATGTAAACAGAATAAATTGACTGAAAAAATTTAGTAAGAATATAGAAGATTTGAACAAGACTATCAACTACATTGACTTAATATTTATAAACACTATACTCAACAAAGTCACATAGAAAAGCAAACAAACAACAAAACAAACAAACAAACACAAAATCACACTTGAAGAGAGATAAACAATTTTTAGAGATGTTCCAGTTACTATGGCTTATAAAAAATCACGCCAAGATTTTTTTTACATAAAGTTAACATAAGATTATCCTAAAATGTACAATTCAGTGGCATTCAGTACATTCACAATATTATGCTACCTAGTCCCTATCTAGTTTGAAAATATTTTCATCATCCCAAAAGGAAATCATGTACCCATGTACATTACAATCATGTAAGTAGTGACTCAACATTCCCACCTCCCACCAGTCCCTGGCAACCTGCTTTTTGTCTCTATGAATGTATCTATTCTGGGTACTGGCATGTCTTGGAGATATTGTGGGTTCAGTTCCAGGCCACTGCAATAAAGTGAATATCACAATGTCAGTCACACAATTTTTTTTGTTTCCCAGCATCTAAAAAAGTTATATTTATACTCTACTGTAGTCTATTTAGTGTGCAACATTATGTGTAAGAAAACAATGTATATATTTTAAATAAAGATACTTTATTGCCAAAGATTCTAACAATCACCTGAGCTTTCAATGAGTCATAATCATTTTGCTGGTGAAGAACCTTGCCTTGATGTTGATGGCTGTGGACTGATCAGGGTGGTGGCTACTGAAGGTTGAGGTGTCTGTGGCAATTTCCTAAAATGAGACAGCAATGAAGTTTGCCAATGGACTCATGGAGCCAATTGACTCTTCTTTTCATGAAAAAGTTATTCATAGCATGTGATGCTATTTGGTAGCATTGTACACAGAGTATAACTTCTTTCAAAATTGAAGTCAATCCTCTTAAACCCTATCACTGCTTTATCAACTAAGTTGATGCAATATTTTAAGTTGATGCAGTATTTTAAGTCACTGCTTTATCAACTAAGCTAATGTAACATTTTAACAATGTTCACAACATCTTCACCTAGAGTAGATTCTGTTTCAAGAAACCACTGTTTTCTACTCATCCATAAGAAGCAACTCCTCATGCATTCAAGTTCTATCATGAGATTGTGGCAATTCAGTCACATCTTCAGGCGCTGCTTCTATTTCTAGTTCTCTTGCTATTTCCACCATATATTCAGTTACTTCCTTCACTGAAGTCTTGAACACTTCAAAGTCATCAATGAGGGTTGGAATTTACTTCTTCCAGGCTCCTATTAATATAAATATTTTGATCTCCTCCCATGAATCACAGATGTTCTTAATGGCATCTAGAATGGTAAATCTTTTTAATGAACTTTTTCAAGTTATTTGCCCCCAGATCCATCAGAAGAATCACTATCTATGGCAGATATACCCTTATAAAATGTATTTCTTAAGTAACAAGACTTGAAAGTCCAGATGAAACTTGTTGATTCATGGATTGCAGAATAGACATTGTGTTAACAGACATGAAAATATTAATCTCCTTCTACATTGCCATCAGCACTCTGGGGTGACTGGGTGCATTGTCAATGAGCAGTAACATTTTGAAAGGAAGCTTTTCTTCTTAGCAGTAGGTCTCAACAGTAGGCTTAAAATGATTAGTAAACCATGCTGGAAACAGATGTGCTGTCATCCAGGCTTTGTTGTTTTATTTATAGAGCACAGACAGAGTAGATATAGCGTAATTCTTACAGTCCCCAGGATTTTTGGTATGGTAAATAAGCATTGACTTCAACTTAAAGTCACCAGCTGCATTAGCCCCTGACAAGGGAGTCAGCCTATCCTTTGAAGCTTTGAAGCCAGGCACTGACTACTTCTCTCTAGCTGTGAAAGTCTTAAATGGCACCTTCTTCCAGCATAAGACTGTTTTGTCTACATGGACAATCTGTTGTTTAGTGAAGCCACCTTCAATTGTCTTAGCTAGATCTTCTGGGTTACTTGGTGTGTCTTTTCCATCAGCACTTGCTACTTCATCTTATACTTTTATGTTATGGAGATGGCTTATTTCCTGAAACCTCATGAACCAACCTCTGCTACCTTTCAACTTTTCTTCTGCAGCTTCCTCAGCCTTCATGGAATTGAGGAGAGTTAGGACCTTGCTTTGGATTAGGCCTTGGCTTAGGGGAATGTCGTGGCTCATTTGATCTTCTATCCAGACCACTCAGACTTTCTCCATATCAGCAATAAGATTCTTTCACTTTCTTACCATTCGTGTGTTTACTGGAATAGCACTTCTAATTTTCTTCAAGAACTTTTCATTTTCATTCTCAACTTGGCTAAATGTTTGGCACCAGAGGCCTAGCTTTCAGCCTACCTTGTCTTTCAACATGGCTTCCTCACTAAGCTTAA